CCAGCCCCGGCGCCGCCCCCTCGCCGTCGAAGCGCTCCTCGTCCCACGCGATCAGGTAGCCCAGCCGCATCACCGCGACCGCCCACTTGCGAGCCGCCTCCGGGAAGAGCTCGTGCGACTGCGGCGACCACTCCGCCGCCTTGACGATGAGCCTGCCCACCTCCACCGCCGCGGCCGCTGGCTCCAGGTTGGCCGGCCTGAGGAAGGGCAGAGGCGTGGGGCGTGTCCAAAGCGAGGATCCGGCGAGTGGGGGAGGGACCATAGCGCGCCTCAGTGCGAGGGCCTTGGCCTCGCCTGCCACGCGCACGCCGAAGCGTCCCGTCGAAGCGCTCGCGGAGACGACGACGCCGACCTTGCCGTTCATCGACGGCCGCGAGACCAGAGAGTGGATTGCGACGGTGGAGCCGACGGCCGCAGCGGTCGGATCCGACTCGCCCCACGAACAGAGGACGCGCGCCCGCTCGAGGGCAGAAGGCTCGCCGGCCGAAGTGTCCGCGCCGCCGCGCAGCAGCGCCCGCGCCCGGTCGACGGTGAGCGCCTGCGGGAAGAGGGACAGTGAGCGTGAGGACAATGCACTCACGCTTCTTCAGCCGCTAGTCTCGGGGCACGCCTCGAGGTGCTGGAGCGGCGTCCAGCCGCGGCTGGCGACCAGCCAGGCGGCGAGGTCGGCGTGGCCTTGGAAGTTCGTGACCTCCTCGGGCGTGCCAAGGGGCGTAGCGGCGCGGGAGGCGCCGTAGGAGGAGAGGAGCTTGGCAACCTCGAGGTGGCCCTGGTAGCACGCTATGAACAGCGGCGTGGCGCCGGTGTTGCGGGCTTGGCCGACCGCTGCGCCAGCCTCGAGGAGCAGCCGGGCGATCTCGACGTGGCCCATCAGGCACGCGATGTACAGCGGCGTGGCGCCATCCGCTGCGGCTTGGTTGACCGCCGCGCCCGCCTCGAGAAGCAGCTGGGCGATGTCGAGGTGGTTGTTGTGGCATGCCATGAACAGCGGCGTGGCGCCGTCCTCCTTGGCTTGGTTGACCACCGCGCTGGCCTCGAGGAGCAGCCGGACGATCTCGACGTGGCCCTGCTGGCTCGCGATGTGCAGCGGCGTGAAGCCGCCATCCGCAGCTTGGCCGACCGCCGCGCCAGCCTCGAGGAGCAACCGGACGATCTCGAGGTGGCCGTTCTGGCACGCGATGAACAGCGGCGTGCAGCCGTTGCTCGTCGCTTGGCCGACCGCCGCGCTGGCCTCGAGGAGCAGCCGGACGATCTCGAGGTGGGCCTGCCGGCACGCGAGGAACAGCGCGGACGCGTCGCGGCCGTTCGTCACCCCGACGCTCGCGCCGCCCTTGAGCAGCAGCCGCACCGCCTCGGCCTGCCCGTGACGAGCGGCCCAGGTGAGCAGCGTGTCCTGATTCTCGGTGTCGAGCCGCGCGTCAAGCTGGGCCGTGAGCGACGTGCCGCGCGTCCCCCACCCGGAGAGGAGGGCGCGCAGCGAGCCCAGGTCGCCCACCGCTAGGTCGGGCAACAGAGTTGGGCTCGCGGCGCTCATGCCGCCAGAAAGAAGAAAAACGTTTCCTAATGCACCAGAGCAATTTGCATCCCTTTCGCTGTCACACTGTACACACACTATGCAAGACGCCGCTCATGCTCCAGAAAGAAGAAACCCCGCTGGTTGTCTGTTTTCTTTAAGTCCCTTTTGGTGTACACCAAAAGGCACGGGCACCCCGCACGGCGTTCACTCGAACGCCATGCACATGGCGCGGAGCAGCCCCGGGTTGGTGTCGAGCGTTCTGAAGCGCGCCGGCAGGCTGCTCGGAGAGCCAGTCTATCTGTTCGCAGTTCGGGGATGACGTCAAGGACTCATGCAAGGACTATTTCAATCATTTCCCGATCGCCCCGGAGGCCCCGCCAGACACACTCTCAGCAAGGTCCGGGTGCATAATGCGCCGTGAGAGTCACACCAGACACACAAAATCACACGCGCAAAACGTCCACAATCTGGGCACGGCACAGCGGGCAGCGACTGCTAGCCAGCCGGGCCGCGCACGCGTGGCACAGCGCCACGTGGCCGCACGGCTGCAGCCGCGTGTTGATGCGCCGGTCGAAGCAGACGCAGCACTCATTCGCCTCATCCGCGGCGTCGCCCTCCTCGTCGCCCGGGGCGGGCGAGGGCAGCACGACGGGCCACAAGTGCCAGGTGCCGTCGAAATCGCCGAGCGCATGCCGGATCGACCACTCTCCGCGCACGCCGCCGCTGAGGGAGGGCTGCCTGGTGTATGCATGCACAGGCAGTCAAGGGCATCATGCGGAGAACGCAAGGCATCGCGTGAGCACCTGCAAGACAGTCGAGTGCGTGTCTTCGCGAGCGGGAGTCGGAATGCAGGGGCCAGTACTCCGCATCTACGGAACGGCCGCCCGCCCACCCGCCGCGCAGCCTACAGCAAAACGTCCACCGACCCCTCAGCCCACCGCGGAGACACCCGCCCCCCTTCCGGCGCGCCGCTCGGTGCCTCCCCGCGGTACTCGACAGCGTGGCCGTGGTTCTCCTACCGAAACAAGGGCGGTCGAATGGGCGAGCGGTTTGCTGCTGTCCGTCTAGCGGTGAGCCGCTCCTCCGAGACGCGCCCTGCCGCGGTGAGCGAGCCGCCCTCGTACCGCTTGGTTAGGGCGACGCGGCCGCTCGCCTGCAGCGAGGTCCCGAGCAGCCTCGCGGAGGACTCTCGTGAGCAATGCCTCGCCGCCGACCTTGCCCGGCTCGCCTGCAGGAAGGCTCCGAGCAGGCTCCGAGAAACGGATTCCGATGGCCAGGGCGAGGCGCCAGTTCGCCGAGGCGCGGCCGCGGAGCTGGTAGGCGCCCACGCCGTCCCTCCCGCTCCCGTGCACCTCTCCGCCGCGCTCAAAGTGCAGCGTAAACTCGACCACACCGCACTGCCGCGTGCCGACCGTGTAGTAGCCGCGCCTGTGAGAAGCAGCTCCGAGAAAGGTCAGGGGCTCCGCGAGGGAAGCCGCGACCACGTAGCAGCCGCGCGCCAACGCCCGCTGGGGTAGATGGCGGCGTCCGCGCTCTGAGCCGCCGCAACGCTCCCGAGGAACTCGTCTACCGTGGGTGGTGGCCGGCGGCGGAGGCGCCAGGGTCGACGCCGCAAGAGCAGCCAGCCCGTCGAGGCCGCCGCCGAGAGGGAGGCGACGAGCTGCATCCACGAGAAGCGGCAGCCGCCGTTCGGCTGCCGCGTGTAGAGGAGCCGGCACGCGTCGCAGCCGGCCGCCGTCTGGTTGCGGCAGACCCTGCAGCCAGGGCTGCACGCGAGGCAGCCCTCCTCCGCTGCCGAGAGAAAGTACCCGCTCTCGCAGGCGTCGCACCGTCCTGGGCCGGCGTCGTCGCAGGCGGAGCAGTGCGCCCCGCACGGCTCGCACGTGCATCCCACGCGCACGTAGGCGTACTGGCACGAGGCGCAGCAGTGAGGGCTCGAGCAGACGCTGCAACCGACCACGAAGCAGTCTGGCGTATCATCCTCCGTGTTGTCACCGCCGCCGCCGCCGTCGCCGCCGCTCGGTATGCCCTGGGCGACGGTCGCGAGCAGGAAGGATGTCAGAAGGGCGTGAGAGAGAATGGTGAAACCGTCTCGTAGAAAGCGTGGCCGGCGGCGCGGCCAGCAAGCTGGCTCGTCGTGGACTGCTGCGGCGACTTTTTTTCGGTGTCCTGCGAGGGCGCTAAGAGGTTCCTCTTTTCCGCGCCCCCCCCGCAAGGCGCGCGATACACACGTCCTTCGAATACGGTACTTTCGTTTACCCACATTATGAGTATCCTCTGCCAGTTTGTCTTCATGGTCGCCCCCACCCACCCCATCTCCTACCAGCTACGCCCTGCCACTCGTGGTGTGACGTGTGAGTTGTCTGTTTTTTCTTTCTTTCTTCTTCCTGATCCTGTGTATGTTTATTTGCGCTTTTTGGCATTTGGCTCCTCCGTTCTCTCGTCTCTCGCTCTCTCCCTCTTTGTTTATTCGTTGGGCCCCTCGGACTCTTGCTTGGACCTGGTTGGCTAGTAGCGGCACGCCGGACAGCTCTCAGCTGCATGGGGGGCACCACCCTTGCGCCCCCGCCGTGGGGTCAGTCAAACGGCCCGCACACCTCGCGCGCGAGCGCTCCCTCCTCGCCTACTCGCAGGAGGAGAGGCTAAAGT